TATTTAATATTAGCTTTATGCGAACAGAAACCTTTGTTACCAAAAATACGACAGTATATATATATATAATGAACTTATATATAATAACAAAAGCAGTGGATGATTACGTAGCTCAGTAAAAAACACAAATGAGCACGCTGATTTAAGCTATTAGAAATATTAATTTGTATTATTCAAAGTTGCTTTTCTTATTCAGATCCAAAAATCACGAATTGTTCGAAAAATGCACAAAAATAACGTATCTCAACAACTATCAGTCCGATCGGCTCGAAATTTACAATCTTATAATTGCCAGATTTCGAAAAGAGGTTTGGTCTTTGTTCCAGAGAGATTGGCAAATTAGAAGATTAATTAGCATAATGAATAAAAATCCTCCACTACTTTAATTTTATCCATGGCGAATGGCCTTGACGATTCCAAAAGTCCAGCGGAAACCATCTCCGCTTCAGCGACACACGTCGCTTTCGAGTCGAAGGCCGTCAACCAAGAGTTAGGAAGGGGAGAGAAGGTAGTAGCGCTTTTTTAATGAACCTTCTAATTAGGCTCCTAATTAGCAAAACAGTTTACAATGAACGCTAACCTTTATTTGATCATCCGGGAAGTGCAAAATTCAAAATTTGAACGAAATCCGTTAATTCTTTGAAAAGTTACGTATTTTTGTGCATTTTTCCGGCTCAGTTTCTGTAATTAAGAAAAATTCAGTAAAATTTTGTATCTCGGGAACTAATCATGCGATCGGCTCCAAATTTAGAAATTTACAACCGATGGATGGTCAGATGAAGGATGCTCTTTGTTCTAGATAGATTGGCAAATTAGATGATTAATTAGCATAATGAATAAAAAAGCGCCACTACGCTAATTTTTACCCCAGCGAATGGCCTTGACGATTCCAACAGTCGAGCGGATACCATTTCCCCCCCGACACCCGTCGCTTTCCGAGTCGAAGGCCCTCAACCAAGTGTTAGGAAGGGGAGATAAAGGTAGTAGCGCTTTTTTAATGAACCTGCTAATTAGGCTCCTAATTAGCAAAACAGTTTACAATGAACGCTAACGTTTATTTGAGCATCCGGGAAGTGCAAAATTCAAAATTTGAACGACGAAATCCGTTATTCTTTGAAAGTTACGTATTTTGTGCATTTTTCCGGCTCAATTTCTGTAATTAAGAAAAATTCAGAAAAATTTTGTATCTCGGGAACCAATCATGCGATCGGCTCCAAATTTAGAAATTTACAACCGATGGATGGTCAGATGAAGGATGCTCTTGGTTCTAGATGGATTGGCAAATTAGATGATTAATTAGCATAATGAATAAAAAAGCGCCACTACGCTAATTTCACCCCTCGCGAATGGCCTTGACGATTTCAACAGTCGAGCGAATACCATCTCCCCCCTCCGACACCCGTCGCTTTCCGAGTCGAAGGCCGTCAACCAAGAGTTAGGAAGGGGAGATAGAGGTAGTAGCGCTTTTTTAATGAACCTGCTAATTAGGCTCCTAATTAGCAAAACAGTTTACAATCAACGCTAACGTTCATTTGAGCATCCGGAAGTGCAAAATTCAAAATTTGAAATGAAATTCGGTCGGTTAGATCAGGAGATACGTATTTTTTGTGCATTTTTCCGGACTCAGTTTAGTTTAATTAAGGAAAAATTCGTAATTTGGGAACCAATCATCCAATTTTCTTGAAATTTCGAAATTTTTAATTCTCGGATCTTCAAATGACGGATGCCGTTTGTCCCAAGTCGATCGGCCAATTAGACGCTTAATTAGCGGCATGACCTAAAAATGCTCCAGTACCTTAATTCGCCCCTTGCCGCGGAGAAATATCCCTTTCATAGGGAAAAACCCAACAAAGAAAGCGAAAGAAACGCCAAAAACGTAATGAAAAATGAGTTTTTAATTAATATCTCGGCTAATTAAAGTCGCACGAAGATGCCAATGGTCAATATGGCGAGATACGGGAATTCTGAATCCAACGGTACCTTCCACTAAGCTCTACACCAAGCCGTTCGTGAGAAGATGAGGTTACAAACAGACGCGGACAGATTTTAATATGTAAGTAGAAGTAATAATACCCAGTGAAGGTTATTCATATACAGCTGTTAGGTTGTAAGATTTACAAAATTTGAGAACTCTAAATTATAAGCAATATATTCCATAATCTAAGCAACATTATATTTTTTATAGTCAGACAAATTATAAAAATGTTATAAAAGCAATAATGAAACCTGATTTTGGTCCTGATTTGAACCTATGAATTCATGCAATTACACATCCCTATAGTTGTAATATGAGGCAAATAAGTATTTTTAGACCATGGTAATTTTGATCTTCTTAGCAAAGGAAACACCAAAAGTTTACCTCATGCTACTGAAAATGTGTTTTTTTTTCCTTGGGGGGGGGGTGGAGTTTATAATATGCAGAGTTGACATATGAAAAAATGTCAAGACTCATGCGATGTAATATTAAAAGCACCAGTTTTAACTATTAAAATTTTGGCTTTTTAAAAAATATTTTAAATATTGTGCTTTCCTAACACAAAAGTAACTTTAAGAAAAACATGCAATTAATCCCTCCTGCCATCAAAGCTCTGATACCTACCAAATTCGTTGAATATGCGTGGACAGAAATGGTGGCATGTTTTAAGCTCAGTATTTAGGGTTACCAAGGTTATCATAATTTTTCATTTATCGCTCTAAAATGTCGCCAAACAAATTTCTCGCCAAAAAGGACTAATACTAAAGCTGTGCCAAGGTGTGGTTCTATATTCTTACAGCTGTACCTTTTAGCGGTTTATTATTAATAGAATTGTATATGCATACAAAATTTATTACGTCTTATACACAAACTACAAATTACACTTTCACAACAGTTCAGAATCCATGCAATCGGCTTGTCACGTCACCAAACAAGTGACGTTTTTTACGTAGCAAGTCGGTCAGCCAATAGTGATTCAGCATTGTCACAGCAGGGGGTACGGCGAGTACGTTTTAGGAACATGCGACAAGGAGCGCTAGAATACGCCTGCCGTTGTCAACAGGCTTGAACACCTTACAGGGAACAATGCGATTTAGCTCAATTCCACCACCAATTTGATGGAAAGCACCCCGGGGGGACGTGTCTGAGGGTCTCAAACCCCTCTCTCCTTTCACCAAACTACCAAACTACACGAGAGGACTTTCGACTCGCCGCCTATTTAGAGTGCCGCCTTGCCGCACCGACATTGTACATTTACAAACATCTATGCCTTCTTCTGTATTCGAACTCGGGCCTTTCGGCACGGCAGTCAGCTACATTAAACACTATACCGGTTGAGCGGCATGCTGGCAAAATTCGAACGCCTTAAGCTACTATCACACATCCGTTTGTTTCGGAAGAACAACTGCTTGGAACATTTTTTCTGCTTTGTCACAACAGCCAATCACCATAGACCGCTTTGGGGTTAACGCAGGGAAAACTAGTTCTCCATTGCAAACAAGCTGATAGCTGATTGGTTGAAACAAACAACTTGGAATTTTTTTCGAAAGGAAGGAAAAAGTCGCACGTCTTTCTTTCAATAATAAACAAGGTAGAAAAATTGTGTGTGATATGGGCCTCATGGAGACCGTGTTGAGAGGTATTTCAAACAAACCTGTATGATATACTTGGATGAGATTGTAACGGCATAAAATGTAAATAATTAGTAACTCACAAAAATTTTTGATAATTATAAATGTTTAATTTGCATATTATTGTATTATCGTTTTTGGCAAAAGTTTTTATCTTTGGAATGCAATTTGTTAAAAATAACAGAAGATCCTCACGAACTGGAAGAAATAACATTCGCCAAAGTCCTCATCTCCTTTCTTCATGCTTAAAAGCAAGATTGCTACATTAGAAGATGAGTTTTTGACTATTGAGTTGGTGAATATAACTATATTTGGTGTTGATATGGTAATCCTTTTATTTTTTGTAGTTCAGTCAAACATTCCTTGGAGTAATAAGATTTTGTCTACATCTTATTACGTTGTATCAACTGATACAACGTAGATCCGAGGATTCATAAGAGGTGTACTTATAACATCATCATCGTCGGGAAAACTCTTAGAAAACATTTGGAAAATATTAAGAAAGTATTTCAGATATTGAAGGAGGGCATTCTAAAGTTCTGCCTAATCTAAATTATGTGTATACGGATCCAAGAAAATTTTGGTAGTTAAAGATTCTAGACGTTTCGAAAATATCCATGAGCTGAGAAGTTTTCTGGGGCTTTGTACCTGCTATAGGAGATTTGTGAAGGAGTAAAGAATGTGAGGATGCATTGAGCAAACTGAAGGAGCCTTTAACACCTGCTCTAATCCTGATGTTCAAAAATTCTCAACAAATTTGTTACCTCAAGAACTATTTATTACTCGAAAATAACTATCTATATCTCTTTAGTTATTTAAGACTCTACAATAATTAAATAGTTCTTTTATCATACTCTCAAATGATGAAAAAATCTAAAAACAAAGTTACACTTAACTCTCTAAAAAAGAACAACATCATAGTATGTTGCCATTCTCTGAAACATAAACTTTTACAAAAACATAGATATAATAATATGAATAGATAATGAATAAAAAAACCCTATAAAGAAAACGATTACATCTGCTTGAAGCTTGTGCAATATTACTCAGAAGCTGCAGTTACAAAAAAAATATAAACAAAAATATTAGAGTCAAAATATTGTTCATCCTCCCACCTTGCAATATGAAATTCGGGATTGAGTATTGCAAAATAATAAAAAAATTAAACATTGTTCTCACAAGTCCAATCGATGAGGAACTCTAATTGTCCTTCCTGATTTGGTTATCGTGGGCGATTTTAAATGGGTATGGATTATTCTCTATTGTTTCTACAGGTGCATCATCAATTGGAGTTTGCTCTACCGAAATATTTTCGCATCGTTGACTTCCGCTGAATTTCGATGGAAGTTCCTCGGCAGTCGATAATTCCAAAGGATAAAGATTTTGTACAGCTCTTATGACTTCTCCATTTTGCACTTTAATTCTGGCTCGTCGACTTTCACACCGTCGGTACCTGGAAATAATTGTATGATTTTACCAAGAGGCCAATTTAATCTCCTTTTGTCATCGCTTCCAATTAAGACAATGTCTCCTTCTTTTAATTTACAACTTCTAGCGAATTTTTTGCTTGTTGTTTTCAAAGTTCCCAGATATTCCTGGCGAAATCTTTTCTTGAAAACCTGGTTAACATTTTGGATATAACGCAATCTACGTTTATAAAAGCTAGAATTGAAGTCATGTTTCACAATTGGCACTGAATAGTTTTGTATTTCTCGTAAAAAATTTCCAGGTGTTATGGAAGTGAGACTTGAATCAGCCGATACAACTGTTAAAGGTCTATCATTTAGGATAGCTTCACAGTTACACAAAACGGTACACATTTCCTCATAACTAAGGCAGGCTCTCCCAAGAACTTTTCTTAATATTCTTTTCATCATTCCTATGAGGCGTTCCCACCAGCCACCCCACCATGGAGCGCCTGGGGGAATGAACTTCCAAATAATACGTTCATTAGCTCCTTTTTTTGCAATTTCATTGAAATCGATTGAAGCAAGTGCATTGCATGCTCCAACAAAATTTGTTCCATTATCAGTATAAATTATGGATGGCTTCCCACGTCTAGCAGAAAAACGATGAAACGCTTGTAGAAATGTATCTGTCGTTAAGGATGTAACCAGTTCCAAATGAACACAACGGTACACTGCGCAAGTGAATAGGCAAATCCATGCCTTCTTGTAGTCTCTTAGAAATATAGGTCCAGCATAATCTATGCCAGGTTATTTGAAACACTGAGGCATCCTGTACCCGATCTCTAGGAAGTGGTGGCGCTGGTGGGTTAACATTTTTGTTTGAATAACGCTTACAGGTTATACAAGTTTCCAAAACGGATGACACAACTCTTCTTTCCACTAATATCCAAAATCTTTCTCTTAAGGAATTTAGGATGTGAGAAACTCCAACATGTCCTTTCAACTTATGTTCTTCCATTATTAAACTTCTTATAAGAGGATGATCACTTGGCAAAATAGCAGGAGTTCTGAACTCAGATGTATCTTCTCTTTGAAATATTGCTGTTTTAGTTCTGATGATCCCACAATCAATGAATGGATTAAGACTTAAAATCCGTTTATCTTCTATTCCATTAAAGGACTCATTTTGTATTAAACGAATCAAGATATTCTCTGCTTCATTTAACTCAGATACAGTAAGTTCATCCTTTTTCTTGTTTTGATGTTTACAGTTGTAAACAAAACGACACATCCACGCTACCAGTCTGATTGTCTTACGATAACTTGAGAATCTAGTAGCAACTATTTCACTAGCATTAAGATTTATTAAGGACGAAATAATCCTTTTCTTTTTCTCAAGAGCTATTTCTTCTTCATCAGCACTAAAATCTTCTTTTGGCCATTTTTCTGGTGATAAATATAGCCATTTAGGACCTTCCCACCATCTAGATTTAATTAAATAAGAAGCAGAGCATCCTCTACTGGGCAAATCAGCAGGATTCAGTGATCCTGGTACGTGCCTCCAAGGATTCAATAGAAGTCAGTTCGCTTTATTTCCTTAATTCTGTTGTGAACAAATACGTCCCATACTTCATTTCTCTGTATCCAAGCTAGCACAGTAGACGAATCTGTCCAAAAATAAATATCATCAGCTTGAAATTCAGGTATTATGCTGGATGCTAAACGTGCACATATTGTAGCTCCAAGAAGTTCCAATCGAGCTATTGTTGTCTTTTTCCTTCCGCTGGGTGCAACTCTCGCTTTAGCTTGCACCAAATGAACTTGAACCGAATCTCTTGTTTGTACTCGAACAAAGGCCACAGCTGAATATGCAAGTTTACTCGCATCGCATCACTGAAGAAATGAAGTGAGATATTTTCAATCTCACGATCACAGTTTAACCATCTTGGTATTCTCATTCTTTCCAGACACTGCAAATCATTCAACCATTTACAAAATTGTGATTTTGAATTTGAATCAACTTCTTGGTCCCAAGATAACTTAACTTCCCATAGGTGCTGAAGTAAAAGTTTCGGCACAAGAGTTACGGGGCAAGCTATTCCTAAAGGGTCGAATATTTTGTGTGTAGTAGCTAAAATCTCTCTTTTAGACAAAATTTCTGGTAGATTGTAGGTGATGTTAGTAATATTAAGGCAAAGGTAATCTCCACATCGTTCCCAAATCATTCCTAATACATTTGTGGTACTAGAGGAATTATCTGTTGGGTCACTATATTCCCAACCACGTAATTCTAGCTTTCTTGTAGCTAAAGTATCTGAAGCAACTTGTATGAATTGTTGCAATTCTAAATCATTTTTTTTCACACTCGCTAAACAATTATCTACATAAAAGCTCTTCTTCAATTGCTCAATAATATCCACTTTATACTTTGGGTTTCCATTTAGTTGTTTCAAAGTGGATTCTAGAAGATGGTGAATTACAGAAACTAGCAAGAAAGGGCTGCTTGTAACTCCAAATACTACCCTACACAATGCCTGTAATACTTCAGTTTTCCATCAGTTCTATACCATAAGAATCTTAGATAGTCTTTATCCTTAGGGTTGAGACTTATTTGTAAGAATGCTTTTCGTATATCTGCAGAAACTCCTATTCTGTTCATTCGGAATCTATGAAGAATTGAAGGAATCAGTTCGATAAGGTTCTGACCTTTTTCTAGACAATCATTGAGACTAGGGGATCCTTTTTGTTTGGCCGAGGCATCAAACACTGGCCTGATTCGTGTAGTACTGTTTTCTTTTACTACGTGTCGATGTGGTAGATAATGGCATGTTACATCAATTTCGCTTTTTGGTACTTCTTCTATGATGCCTTCTTGTTCCCATTCACTAAAAACTTCTCCATAAGCATCATAAAGTTTCTCAGCTTTTAGTCGTTTTACTGTAGAAGCTAATCTCTTTACAGCTAAGTCATAGTTATCTTTTAACGGTAGATGGTTATCAAGCCATGGCAAGCTGACTGAAATGAAAACGCCCCTCTTCGTTCACCTTTACAGTAGACAAGAAATGATCTCTTGCTTCTTCTTGAAGTTCCAGTTTACTTTTTTTCTTCTCTGATGGATCTAGAATTCCAAGTGAATCTAGAGACCATAGATCGGATATCAATATTTCCTTATTCAACATGGATGTGACGAGCAGTGCGGAATTGTCCGAGATCTCACGCATACCATTTTTTTTCCCAAAAAGAGTCCAACCAAGTTTTGTTTCTATAGCAGCAAGGCCTGAAGTAAGCAATTTAAATCCTTCGGTCATCAACTTGCCTGCAATGTCAGCGCCAATAAGTATTTCTATTGGTCCATTACTATCGTCGCATACGGATATATTGTTCTCTTTAAGCTCTTGAATCCACTCGCCATTAGCAACTGGTGGTATACTTCCACAAATAATATCTTGGCTAAGAGCTTTGAAGTTACAATGATAAGTTCCATCCGTTTTAGACAAGAACACCTGACGTATCCTCAGTTTGACAAACCCTTTATTCTCGACATGGATGCGAGTAATTATAGTGTTGTTGGTGTTTTGTCCCAAGAAATAAACGGTCAAGAACATGTCGTGCACTACTGAAGAAAGTGTCTATCTAAAATGGAGAGGAATTACTATGCCACCAGGATATAATTGCTCTACATAGTTAAAAAAGTTCCGCCATTACTCTACGGCAGAAATTCCTGCTTCGCACAGATCATGCATCGTTCACTTAATTTTCAAATTTCAAGAATCCCGAAGGCCAAATAGCACGATGGATACAGAGACTCCAAGAATATAACATTACTATCTGACATAGGAATGGTTCATAACATGGAAACGCCGACGCCCTGTCAAAAAGACCTTGCTCAGAAAGCTGCCGACACTTTTCCAGAGTGGAAGCGAAATACAGGCTGCTTAATCCAGTCGTACGTCAAGTTGTGTATTCAATATCGTCTGACCCAGACCCGTGAAGTGACAAAGAAGTCAGGAAAGACCAGTTGCTAGAGTACAACATTCTACCTATAACCGACTTAATGGAAGCTTCAGACAGGAAACCTACCTACTTCGATCTGCTATCCTAAAACAAACCAATATTGGGCTTTCTGGAACTCACTCCATATTGGAAATATTTTGTGATCTCTTATTTGGTCGCCCTACGGATGCGCCTTCATCTCACAAGGAGTACATTGAAGATCTCCATTCACGGTTTGAAGTGATGTACAGTTTTGCACGAAAGCGAGTCAACTTAGCGACGCAAATGAAGACCAGATACGACACGAGAGCTTCCAAGTTTCGATTCAACGATGACAAGGTGTGAAGAACTTTCTCCTAAACTACAGTCACCTTGGAACGGTCCTTACTCTTACAAACTTCTAAACATTCTGAACGACATTGTAGTTCTAAATTGGCAAGAAATTGCCTCGCCGGCTAATTTTTATCTCCAAATTTGGCGATAAATTGCCTCAAATCGCCAAACTTGGCGACTATTTGCTGACTTTTTTCCGGTCCCAGTATTACTGCAATTGTAACTTTAATTAAGTCCTGTAAGTAACTTTAAAGGTACATGCCTTCCGGTAATTTCGGGAAATGGAAGTCGGCGGCCGGGTAAAAACTATAGAAGCACGAAGAGAGCATTAGTTCTCGTTTGTTGCTGCACCCTATGGTTCGGACTCTATTTCAACTATCTTCCAGTAAGGACACCATCTCTTCCAAACCAACTATCATTTTTAAGCATTATTATAACATTACTTTCGCCAGATGAAACTATCTCTTAGATTCATCTATGAGCTTCACGCATTAATATATTATTTCGTACAGACGAAATTATGCCTTGACAATTTTCACGTGCTACTATATATATTGCTATTCATTACGATTTAACATCCATGTGACCAAGAAACACATTAATTCTAATCGCTTTTATTTTTGTGTTGCCTTAATGTTAAAAAAATACAAAAAATTTTAATTACAAAAAAACTGCCTCTTTTGTAGTTTAGTGATTTGCCTATTAGATTCAATGCTGAAAGGTCTTGAGGTCGAATCCCGCTAAAACGTTTTCTTTAAACTTTAATCGTTTTAAAAAAAAATATATATATATTTTCTCCCTAAACTTCTGATGTTGACTTCCTCTTTAACAATTTTCCTTACCGTCTATTACGTATCCTTTCTTCATTCTAGATGATATTTTTATTTTTATGATGTGGAGTTAGAGGGTACTAAACCCTAAGCACTCGGAAATAATTAATCCTTGTAGTTCTTACTTGTTAGTTCAGAGTATTGAGATAACCAGTAAGCGCTTCGCCTTTTAGATATTGTGTTGACACAATTTTTAGACACAATTTTTGACGCCTTTTAGACATTGATTGTGTTGTACTTTTTTAACGTTCTTAGTAGTTTTAAGTGTAACTAATAATAGTGCCCTGAGATAGTGAGATGAGATGTGAGTAAAGTGTTTCTTTTGGTAAAAATAAATTTTATCAAGCTATTGTTAAATATTTGCATAAGTCGCCTGTAGTAACGGCAACCGCCGGCAATAAAAGGAGGTGCTTTCCTTAGTGGCACCGCAGTTCCTTTTAGGTCGAGCCAGAAGAGACCTGCCCGGGGAGAAGCCAGGGGATGAGAGATTCCGGTTTCCGCCCTGTTCCGGTTCCCGTCTTGTTGCGGATCCAGTCCTGTTCCGGTTCCCGTCTTGTTCCAGTCCAGTTCCGGTCCTGATCCAGTCCTATTCCAGTTCCAGCCGTGGTCGTTCTGAATTCAGCGAAATGGAGATATACGCCGAAAGGGCTAGATGGATTCTGTCTTTTAAGGGAAAGTGTTCTTCACCGTGCCGGCATAGCTGTTACTTTAAAAGCACTTTGAAGTTTTTCCACCCAAGATGTAAGTTTTTGTTTATGATGTTAAGTTTTCATCAGTGTTGAAGTTCCAGTTAAATAAACCTTTAAGTTTTAGACAAGGTTTTTGTGTTCTTCAGAAAATTTTAGATTCGAAGTCAGATACAGCACATAGGATTATTATCGGAAAAATCAACATTTGGCATCAAGCGACAGGACAGGATATTGTCTGCAAGGTAAGCGACTTTTTTATTTTTGAATTATGGAAGCCTTAAAATTAGCGAACTCAATATAGAAGACTATTCAGTAAAGCTTGTAATGAATTTGACAATGAAGAAACTAAATTAATCAGGAGAGAAGAAAAATTAATTAAAATAAAAGTTATTGCCGAGAAAGCTAAAGTTTTGTTTGATACTGAAATGAAAATACGAGAATTAATGTTTAAAGAAATTACAGATGAGACTTTACTTATTAAGGAAATAGATGAATCTGAATTATATTTTGATAGGTGGAGACTTCTGGAAAGTAAAGTAAAAGATCTTACTTCTGGGAACCCCGAATGTAACTTTAATTGATCCGTCCTTTATTCAGAATAAAATGTTACATTATCCGAAGATTAAATTGCCTATCTTTGATGGCAACGTGAAGAAATGGCTAGGATTTTGGGGGCAAATTCCAAAAGATTGATAAAGATCCTACATTAGATAATAATGATAAATTTGCTTATTTGGCACAGGCTATGGAGAAGAATTCTCCCTGCAGAGGAAATAGTTAAAAGCTTTCCGCCAACTGGCGATAGTTACAAGAGCGCAATTCGAAGCATTGCAAACGCGTTTTGGTAACAAAGAATTACTAACGGAGATTTATATTCGTGATTTGCTAACCCTTGTTATTCAAAAACAAGGTACACACTCTTTGCGGAAACTATACGATGAACTTGAATCTAATCTAAGAGCCTTGGAGATATTGGGAATAAATAGAGGCAAATATTGCGCGATATTATATCCATTGGTAGAATCAGCATTGCCGAATGAAGTCTTAAAAAACCTGGGAGAGACTTAGGTTTTCGCGTAAAGGATCAGAAAGTTTTTTAAACGGGTGAAAAACGCCGAGTTAAGAGAAAGGGAATCTGACCTTGAGCGCCTTTTATGTTTCTTGCGCGGTGAAGTTGAAAGTGAGGAAGAATTTCTTAGCAGCTAAATCTTTCAATGTTTTCGATCGATTGGCTCACGGTAATTAAGAAAGGAAATTCGGGTTTAAAGATAAGAGAACCTCACTTAAAACCTACGGCAGCTGAACTGTTTACTTCTTCTAATGAAGCTAGAAAAGGCTGCATATTTGTTCCAGTATAAATCATGGTTCTGCGGAATGTTTTCAGGCGCGTAACTTATCGTTGTCAGAAAGAGAAGTTTTGGTCCAAAGGACACGCTCTTGTTATCTGTGTCTGAAATCTGGACATTCTGTCAGGAGGTTGTAGATTAAAAACAGTTTGTTTTTACATGCGGTAAAAGGCATCATATTTTTCTATGTAAGGGGCCATTCACAAATGAGTGAGACAAGGGCAACGGAACAGCCTCCAAATCAGGCTGAAACACTCGCCAACATTTCTTCAAGGTCTCCTAAGTTTTGCTGCAAACAATAAGAGTAATAATTAAAGGAGATAAAAAATCTCGTTCGGCTCGAGCTATAATTGATACTGGTTCTCAAAGGTCATATATTCTGCAAAGCGCAGCTCAAGATATGGGTTACAGGTATACGGTAAAGGAATACCTTAGCCACGCATTATTTGGCGGTACAACGACCAGTTTGTGTGAACATAAAGTTTACAAAATTCATTTATCTAATACGTCTGGCTCGTACAGTTGTAATTTTGATACGTTAAGTCAGCCTGTTATTTGTAATATATACCTTCTATTGGACAAGGAATATGGCTTAAAGAGCTTGCTGACTGTGGAATAAGTTTAACAGATCGTTTAGAAGGACCTATAGAAATTTTAATAGGAGCCGATGTTGCAGGACGATTATTAACTGGAAATCGTAAACAAATTTCAAACGGTCTTGTAGCTATTGAGACGAAGTTAGGATGGACGGTTATGGGAAAAACCAGGGGAGTTGAATAGTGAAAGGTTCAACATTCTTAGTTACTTCAATGTTGAATAAAGAGGCTTATATTTCTGATTTATGGGCCCTCGACTCGCTTGGTATTACGGACCCATCCGAACAAAAGAGTAAATTGGAATTGTATGAGGCTACCAGGCAACATTTCTTGATACTGTAAAAATAGAAGATAACCGCTTTTGTAGTGTCTTTGCCTTGGTTGGAAGGGCACCCTCCCCTGTCGGATAATTTTGAGTGTTATCGCTTAAAAGGTTGCACGGTACGATTAGGCAACTTGAATAGATAATCTTTCGCCAAGAGTATGAAAATATATTCCAAGAATGGCTCAAAGAGGGCATAACAGAGGAAGTACCCCCGTAAATGAATTAGATTTACCCCATCATTATTTGCCACATAGACATGTTGTTAAGGAACATAGTACTACGAAGTTACGGCCAGTATTTGACGCTTCGTCTAAAGCAAAGGGTTCTCCGAGTCTCAACGATTGTCTTGAAAAGGGATTAAACCTTATTTCTTTCATTTATTCCTACAATCTTAAATAGATTTCGCCAAGAAAAAATAGGGGTGATTTCTGATATTCGTAAGGCCTTTCTACAAATTGGCCTGAATTCTAGTGACAGAAACTTCCTCCGATTT